GCATTAATAATTTAATTATACTTTTTATTTATTGCAAGTAATAATTAATATTATGAGTGATTTAGATTATTAAAGGTTTTAAAAAGTTGCATCTCCTGAAAATTGAACAAAATATAAATTATTTACATTAAAAAATATGTTAACGTGTACATTAACAAATATATGTTATATTAATGTTAACGCATACATTTTATTTATTTTATGCCTTAGAATTTTATATCATATCACTTGATAGGCCTAGAACTTTACTGTGCTGCATTGAAATCTTATATTTTCGAATTCTAAATCATTTCTCAGTGTTTAAAATATAATGTATTTGCAGTAAAGAACATGAAATTTCATTCATTGACTATAAAACTATTAATAAAGTTTTGTTCAATTTTAATGACAGTATTTTAATTTAACAACTTTCTATATTTAATTCATGTTGTTATATAAGTTAAAGCTTCAGTAATAGCTACAAAAGAATCAGTTTTTATCGCAATTACAGCGAGGTCTTACTTTGCCGTTCGCCTTGCGCTCTGCCATCAAACTTCTGCGTTTTACGCTTGAACGCGTAAGATCCTGTTTATTTTATGTAATACAGTAACAGTCAATTATATATAGCGTATGCCTTTATTTGCGCATAATCCTGCCACGCATAATTAAGCGCCGATAACATCGAGACGAGAAACTTCGGCACGCTCGCGTATTCGAATGCGTATTCCGCGTGATATATCGACTTCTTCTTTCGAGTAGATTCATTGACTCATTAATGCACCGAGAAAAATCGCCGATCGTATATCACGATCCGGACAGTAATCAAGTGCTCATTCTTAATGCAGTGTGTAATAAATATGTGAATTAATATACCGCCGATTAATTATATCGCGCAAACTGCGTTTCTAATATGTACTCTCGTTGCCGCGAAGAATTATAAGACGGACGCGCCTGCGAACGCCACGGAAAAGTGATTACGTCTTGTGTACGTGTTGCGCAAAGCACTCTGTAAAACGACATTCCTCGTAGCGGGCGATCTTCGCATAGTATCGTCGAGAGTTTAAAATTAGCGCCTTCAAACAAAACAATGTACGCATATACATATATCTATTTCCATAAAACATTGCCCAAAAATCGTCTATTTTCTCTAAATCGTAAAAGGTAGAAATCTAACACGAAGAAAAGTATATATTATTTTAAGGTTGATTATACGATATTTGATCATTAATCTTATTTAATTTTATCCATTGAAGAAAAATATGATTCTTTTTCCTGCGATAATTAACGCAAGCGATCGAGATGTTTTCGTTCTTCTTATGTCGCACGTGCCTCATACTTGTAATCCATATAAATCATATGCGCTTTTTTACGACTTCTTACGACTGCCATACTCTTTTAACTGCGAGAACTTCGAACTGCGTTGTGAACTAGTTCAAGGTTCAAAAACATTATTTATCACAGTGTACGATACGTTATATAATTACTTTGCGTTACATCGCCTTTAAAAGTTGAAGTGTAATTTTACATTTCTTGTGCTTTAAGAATTTTTTTATTAATCTCATACATAGATACAATAAATTGAATTACATTTTATATGCATAATTATAATTACATATAATGATTTTTATATATATATAATTTTTTATAAGAATATATATTAACTTTAACTATAATATGAACATATTTTCCGCAATCTTTCTTCAACAAAATATTTTCGTTCATTTATATCGCGAGAAGTAAGAAGTCGGTCAACGATTCACCAGAACAATTACGCAGATGATGATTTCGGGCAGTTCGTGAAGTCAAAGAAAGGGTTGAGTGTACGGTAGAAAGGGGTAAACGGCGACAAAAGAACCGACTCTCCGGGACGGTCAGTAAAAAAAAAGTCATAAAGGGATAAACGTCACACGGGACTCGTGTTTAATGGCGCGTAAACTACGATGTGCCCCCGTGCGCAGGTATACGATCGCATAGACGCGTGTGAGCACGCACACGGGAGGCTGGCAGCAGCGGAATCACCGCGGTGACTCGAAGCGGGTCCAAAGGGTTGCGCGTGATCCTTCTAACCTCGTGCTCATTGTCGTCACCGTCGCCGTCATCATTGCTGCGAGCCCGCAAGCTGATATTTGGAGCAGGTACGGCGAGTCGATCGACTTCATTAACGCGCCGATGCCGGGCAAATATTTACTCTGTCCACAGAAACTGGGGTACGAGGTACCACATATTTACACTCTTCACTCCCCGTGACCCTCTTTTCTCCTTGACTCTTCTCTCGTTTCACCTGTTCCGCGTGCACCGTACTACGAACTACGATCCGCTGAAGTCAATGACATCGGCATCCGAAATCGGCAGAAGTCACGTGTATATTTTTGTTTGTTTTTTTTTCCACGACACTTTGCCCGTCGCTCGTTGTTTACGATTGATTGAAATGTTCTTCGATATCACGCATTGTGCGAATTTGTATGCAAAACTAATTCCCAAGTCAATCAGATGTTGTGAAATTCGCTGTCAATTTCATTCCGATGTCGTGTATAGAGATCGATTCATGCTGCGACGATATAAATCAACCTTGGCCCGCGTTAACCTTCGTGGACTGCCATTGGTAATATCGTTGCATCACGATCCTTTGTAAAATCAATAAGTTCAGCAATGTAAATGGTACGATTTACCGGTTACGACCGACAGCATTCGCCGCGACGGTCTGACATATGCACTCCCGGTGATTTATTGCGGATTACGCCACTCCTCGGAGACGCTCTATTCCCCTCGGTTATTAGGGCGATGAAATTTTTTTTTCCTTTGTGCCGCGCTTGCGATCGCTCCACCTTCAACGCTCGCGTCTCAACCTTTGCCTCTCGCATCGCGACCTTTCGCGCTTATTGTTTTCTTCGCATCGCGATATACATATCTCGCGTTCCTGTGTTTCTTCGTTCAAAAATACGCGCGGTGCGGTGGCTCCGTTATACGTATATTCTGCTTTATTTGCCTTTGTGTTAAGTCTCCTTACCTCAACTCTTAGACTCACTTAGAGCGACCGTCTCTATTTCTGGTATTTCTGGCATTTCTAACTAGAGTCTCAAGTTAGAAAGACTGAAAACATTGACCGAGATTTCTACGTCGAATGTTTTGCCCGTAAGAATTTTAAAAGCAATTTTTATTGTATACGTAAAAATTATATTAGGTTGGTGCAAAAATAATTGCGGTTTTCAACCAAGTTTAAAAAGTTTAAATAACAAAAACCGCAATTATTTTTGCACCAATACTTTTGTTAGAGGCATAGAATAAATTTTGAGTGAGAATAAGGAATTTAAATAAATAATCATTATTTTTAAATTGAAATAGGTATGTAAAAATGTAATATCCGGAGAATAAACAATTGAGGTAGGATTTTAGAATTGTTATTTGGACAGCAATATTGCAGTTTGCATCGAAACTGGCACAAATGCGTTAAAATCATTAACTCATCATCAGTTGGTTGTTCCAACTAATTGTCGTAAAAGAGAAAGACGGGAAAACGGGTTCTGTTTCATCAACAAACCACGTAGCGGGGGAAAAGAATTAGTGGGCGTTAAGCAACGCGTCACGAAGAAACTTGAAAATCTTAACGAACCTGTGAGCTTTCTTTTCAGTCCGTGTTTTTTTCATTTTATCGTCCGCGTTCGTATCGTCGGCAACACGAATAGCAGTCCGTTTTCTTCAGGAGCGCAATTACAAAAAGTCGACTAAACTATCGGAGCTCTAATTGCCATCACTCCGAACTCTCGTTAAAATCATCCGTCCTTCGCAGCCGTACGTAAGGAAAAAAGCATCCCTTCGAAGAACATCGTCTCTCAAACTGGTGCGTCGTCCTCGACGACTACCGGTCGCCGTTATATTTTTAAATCAACGGATCCGCAGGTGGTCCTTGCCTCGAAACGGCTCGCGAACGCTCGCGACAGGGGAATGCAGTTAATTTTTTGCACACGCTCTTAAGGTATCACTTGACGCGCGGCTTGTCACAATACGACGTCATTTGCGAGAGATACGGACCGAGTGCCAGAAACATTTGCATTCTGCTCGCAGATTGCTTCGGGATGAAACTTGTGCTCTCGATGCGCGTATTCTACAAGCCATAAACCCGCATTTTTACACTCGTTATCTAAAAGAAAGAGATGCATCGCGATTTTAACCGGTCGCTTTATTACAACTATGTCGAAATCAACGAGATTTCTCCGTCGTTCATCCCGTAAATTGACGATACGTAAACTTCGAGAGCTGGTTCTCCTCGAATATTAATTTCGAATCGGAATCTTTTACACCGTCCCGTCGATGATCGAAATATTCGCGCCGCGAGGAACGCCGACCGTAACTTCCTTATCGAGTCATCAGTGGTCTAATTTTATTCCAGTTTGCTGGAAAAAATAGGTCCCTCGTCCCAATACCAAATAGAAGCAGATGGCATGGCTCGCCGAGATAGCGCTGATTTATGACACGCTGGTGGGTTAAAACGGGTTTCGATTCGAACGTTACGGGGGAGAGTGGGGAAACATAGATTCAGGAAAGAAAGGAACCTAATGATTCTCCGGATATTCATTTCGTGCCTATGGGCGAAGATCTAATCTTCAACCCGAAAAAAAAACTGAATCCATCGAAGAATATATATGCAACACTTTTTCGATCGATATATAAATATCATCACAAGTGTACAAATTAGTTTACATAAACTCGAGTAACTAAAAGATATTTAAGCAACTTTGAGACAAGAATTAAAAAAATCACGCTTGTGAAAGATATTTCCGTCGCGTCATCAGTCTCGCATATTTTTAATGTTTTGTTTTCAATTATTTTTCTTGTACTTAAAATCCTGCTCAAACATCCGTACGATATCGTGGGAGGAATAAAAATTAAAGCGAACGTAGAAAACCGGTTCGCCGCCCCACCATTCGCGTTTTATTCTTCCAAGGATGAGCTGCAACACAACTGGCTCTGACTCTCGCGTTCGAATAACTTCTATAATTTCTATAATTCTTTTGTCATTGCAGATGACTGACAAAGAGTTAACTTTGCTGTGCGAAGTGTGCGAAGATAAGGCTGCTGGATATCATTACGGGGTGTTTTCCTGCGAAGGATGTAAGGTAAGGATCGTTAGTTGCCGACAGTTTTTAACGATAATGAGACTCCGAGATGAGTGCGAGTTAAATTTCCCGTTCGCGAACTTTGTGACATGACGCCGCGAATTTGCACGATGACGTCCTGTCGGGAGACACTGCATTCGTCTTCGAGCAGCGCATTGTGTAACATTTGTGATGCAAATTCTATACGCTTTATAAAGAGCAACGTAGAACTAATTACGAAGTCGAGCATGCCAGTTCTGTCGCGTTTGCAAATAAGAAGTAAATGGCTCTTTGTTTCGCATAATTATAATTCAAACTTCGCAATAGAGGATTGAGAAAAAATCAGTACAAGGTTAGAAGAATGATAAAAAAATGCAATCATGAGGTAAGCGTAAAAAATATTACAGTGAGATTATGAGTGATTTTTTTAAGCGACAACTTACTGTCCCGTTAATTTTTCACCTGCTTATTTATAACAATAATTATTATCGTTAACTCTATTAAATACGTAATTTTAAGTAATATATTTTAAAGTTTTGCACATAAAAAATGAGGCACCAGTAATATTGCATGAGATTTACAAAAAAGTTCCTATCGTATCATAAAATTTAGCGATGTTTAATTTACATTGTATACTAAATGTATGAACCTATTATAACAATGATATATTTAAAAATATTCTTTAATGCCGATGGAATATTTTGTTAATTTACATTATTAACGACAGAGCTATACATTATTGCGCAAAGTTGAGGAAGGAAGAAACGGACATTGACTTCTAATAAAATCTCACACGCGCAATTTTGAGAGAGGGAGGGGGGGGGAAGAGGGAGGAAATAGCAAAGTGAGGCAGTGATTTATTGGCGAATTATCTTTGGAAAGACAATCTTCGGCAAAAAACGGACGGAAGTAGTTTCTACCCGATATTAACCTGCTGCGAGGACTACGCGAAGTCGTAAAAGTCGATATCCCGGCGATGAGTCGACGCATGCGATGCGTGCCCGCGTTTCGCACTCTAGTTTAAAGAAGAGGCAGCTTAATAAGCCGTGACGGATGCGAAGACGAAAAGGCATCGTGGTAGGGATCCTGCGGCATCGTAGCAATCACGGTCAACGAAACAGGTGAGAAAGTCCGATACGTGGAAAAGGCGAGCGCGCTTCTCGCGCGCACGGGAAAAAATATCTCCCGTCCGGCTCGAATCCGTAAGTGGACGGGAGACTCGAGCGCGACTAATCGATCATCTCGGATCGTCCCCGTTTGGCGATGCTCGCTCTGCAGTAAATCGCGACGAGTGTTTTGAAATAATCACGTATCAATGGAGTGATAACACATCTAGATATCTAACGGGCCGCTGCGCATAGCTTCTTTAATTGCGTTCGCAAAAATCGCGGTGTAAAAAAAATATCCTTTCGGCCAGCTGTTTATTCCATTTTATTGATTTGCATTGCATAATAATTGTTTCAAATTGTGCATACACATACGTATCGTTGAAAGAAATTCTCTTGAAGAAACAAGCCTATTTCTCGGAACAAGCACGCAATAGGTACGAGCGCGGGAAGCTCTCCCTTTTGTCTCGCCCGCGGTTCACTTCCGCGTGTCGGTTGCGAGGATCGCCATAGTAAGCGAGTAATATTCAACAGGTGGATTCCGAGTTCCGCACGTGCGACGGAATAAACAGGCCGTGCGCGAGAGCACGCACAGCGTACCGACAAACGACGACACGGGCGACGGCGATCGGGTCTCGTTAGGCCGCGCTTAGATCTCCGAGGGGTGTTGACCCTTGCTCTCGTCCCACTAATGTGAGCTACACTGTGGAATATCGGTACCGCATACTAAGTGACCCATCCGATAGTAATTGGACCTCATTAAGGCAACAACTTGGTTCTGTTGCCCTTACGGTGCGCGCGTAGGTTTCCCGGAGACGGAGTAGCAGATAACGCCTTTTAGGTCAATTAGGCTCTCCTCTCGTGAACTAGAATGAGCCGAGAGGCCTCCGGCAAGAGGAAAATATCGCCGCGCGCGGCTTTAAAGCTCGATGAAGCAACGAAACAAACGCGATTGCGCGTCTTAATCGAATTTGTCAAAAATCGATCAAGTCACCCCTGCAATCTGTAGAAAAAAAAAAGAAAAAAAAACAATATCGAGATTTGTACCATCTGTTTGTACCAGGTGATGTAAGAAAGGTTTCGTTGCGCAAGATTGATCGTGGACCTTCGGATGACGAAACCGCTCGCGTGTACAATTCTGTCTTTCTTGGGTTGCACAATTATGTCTCTTATAGAGGCTCTGGTCGTCGACCCGCGATATAGTTATTGTAACTCGTGTGTAAGTAAAATTAATCGATGTCTCGCGTCTCGCGCATTTAATTAATGAGCGCGGATGATACGATCATACGAAATGCGATACCATCCAGGAAATTAATATCGCCATCGCGTCGCATATGTCATTGGTTGTATAACTATATACTAGCGGGACGGGACGCCGCTCTCACGTGGTTTCGATGTTATCGCGAGATGTATAACGGCGCCACGGGGACCGTGATAGCGAGAAGGGCGAGGGGCGTTCAAGTGTAGCGGCGAGAATTAAAAGCGTTTGCTCGGACGATCGATTTTTCACGCACACTGAGACGCGCTAAGCAACGCGGGCGCATACTAACGCTCTCCACGATCTTTAACCTCCGACTCGAAGTCGATTCAACCTCCGCCTCCTCCGACGTTTGGAAATATTTGAAATAATTTAGCGGTCGCGGTCGCAGACGAAGAAACGAGGGACACTCATTAGCATACTAACGACTGCCTCGAATTCTCCGCGTAACATCGAGAGGAGGCCGAGCTCGCCTGTCCCCCTCCCGTCCTTCTCGCGCGCGCGCGCGCGACAACGACGACTGTGGCCCCTTTTGCTTCACGCTCTGAATTTTTTCCAACGGCTCTTCTTCCATTTTTGGTGCTGCGTGAAGCAGCCATTCGCGTTCCGTAAACATCGAAAATATATCTCGAGTACGGCAATTATCGCACGATAATATCTTCAAGATTTACAATTTCACTTTTCGGACAATCATAAATATTAAAATTCTTTTCGTCGATAACATGGATGTGCAAAATAAATCACAAAGTTAGAGAAATCTCCAATTAAAGCGTGATAAATGGAATAAATGCAAGTATCAACAGTTTTTACTTTTCTTTTTCAAGTATGAAATTCTTCAAAGAATGATACTTGTTGGAGAACGACAGTGCTGCAGTTAAGTTGCGCCACGATCCGAAGAATTCATGCGGTGTCAGTGCGTCCCTGTTTCGCAAACCGCGTCCCGGTATCTCGCGTGGCATCCGAATTCCACGTCCGTCGTATTGAGCGCGTTCAACTAAAGAAAAGTCGGGTCGTTTGAAGGCCGAATAAAATAAAACCGAAGCGTGAAGCGGAGCTCAAGGCGGGATCGCCAAAAGAGCGCGCATCGCATATAAATATTAACGCGAGCAACCTGAACCCGATCTCTTTCTCTCTCCTCTCCTCGTCTCGTGCCACTTGGTCCGGCTCTCCGATGGACTAATTTGCAGAATCTCGCTCGTTTGTTGAGAGGAACGCGCGCGGAAGGTTGACGGGGACCGAGAGATTCAGGCCAGGCGTCGTCGCGTTCGCTTATGATGCAAATGCCATTGTTTTTCGGGGCCTCAACGGTCCGCGCATTATGCACGGCCGACATTGCGAAAATTTTTCGTCGCTTCTCCCCTCGTCCCGGGCCACTCCCGCTTGTTGACCGAAGAAGAGGCGTGATTCAGGGGACGCGGTTATTCATCGTTTGACAATGAGGACTCGCCTGAGAAGTCGATGCTAATCGAGGACACGCTCGGTACAAAAGCGTCCTTCCCGCCCGAAATATGTAGTCCAGACTACTTTCCACGCGTCGGTGTCGTGGCGTCGACTCTCATTCTTTACGACCTCGGCCGGGAATCCACCGAGCTTCCGGCGATGACGAGGATTCGAAAAGACACTTAGGCGAGCAGCAACAACTTCCGGCGACCGGTACATGATCGAGCGGCGGAAGAGGATGGGACGCTTCAGGGAGTCAACGATGCACGTAGTGTGCATAGAAATCGCTCTTATTTAACTACTGCGACGTGTACTACTACGATAATTCGCAATGTCCGTTGACCTAATGACTGTATACTTAGTTCCTGCTGAGTAAAAAAATACTGCAATTTGATAAGAAATGAAATAACGAACGTAGATAGAAAAATAAAGAGATTAATAGATAAGATAAATAGATAAGTAGATATAGAAGAAAAGAGATTAAATGAGATGCTTAGAAAATCAAGCATATGTAAACAGAACGTTGCCGTTACACTAATCAATAGATTGAAACACGAACAGATGGCGAGCGATTAAAACGCGTTCTTCAGAAAAAAATCAAGCAGCAAGAAGTTTGAGATCTTTGACGATGACGACAACAACATGTGTGCGTGTGCGAGCGCAAACGAAAGCGGTGGTCCGTCGAAGGAGATAACAATCTGAGAACAGCGCGGTAAAAAATATTCGCTCGATTTCCTCCAATGCCGACAATTCCTTAGATCGTCAGACGCCTGTCACGAGCGACAGATTAAGCGACCAGTTTGGATTTTCCCTTTTTCGTGCTCGGCCCGAGTCTGTCAGTCCGCTCTCGCGCTGCGGTATATATAGGCTCGCGACGCCCTTTAGACATCGGATAGGTTTGCGTTTCGCATGTCACCGTCGAGAACAGCGATCCGGCGTTCTCTTTTTGTCGCAATCCGCTCACCTCGTGACTTGCGGCGGCTCGCGTAAAGCGCGACTTCGCGAGAGTTGCAAGACAAGATAATGCCGCTGTCTGCGATAGTCGAAAGCAAGTATGTGTCAAGAATAAATAAAATGAAATAGTTGAAAGTCATAATTCTGATGTTTCGGCTGATTAATTGAAAAACAAATAATTAATTGAAATTGAATTAAAATAATTGAAAAACAAATAATTAAAATATAAAAGTTTTTCTCTCAGTTTTTCTAGATTTTTTGTA